GACCACCCCCACGGCTCCTCTGCGTGGGGAGGGGGGTCAGCGCCGCCTCCGCCGTGCGCCCACCCCAGGGGCTCCATCCCGGTCACCTTCACCCCGTGCCCACCCCAAGAGCCTCCGCTCCAACAGCGTCCACCCCGGCATCTTACACCCTGATCGTCTCCCATCTCAGACCTGTCCTGAGACCCCCCCTCCTGATGGCCTTTACCCCATGTCCACCATGACCACCTCCACTCTGAGGGTCTCCACTCCAACAGCCTCCATCTCAACTGCCTTCACCCCAAGAGCCTCCGCTCCAACGGTGTCCATCCCAGCATCCTCCACACCGATTGTCTCCCATCTCGGACCTACCCCAAGACCCCCCTCCTGATGGCCTCACCCCCACAGCTTCCACCCTGATGGGTTCCACCCCAACAGCCTTGACCCACGTAGCCCCTACCGCGCACCCACCTCAACACCCTGCACCCTGATAGTCTTCACCTCAACAACCTCTAGCTCAATGCCCGCCCTGATGCCTCCACCCCACACCTATCCCAACAGCCTCCACCCCAGTGGCCTCCACCACGTGCCCACCTCAACAGCCTCCATCCCTCTGCCCACCCCAACAACCACCTTCCCTGACAGCCTCCACCCCAACGTCCTCCACCCCAAGTGCCCCTGCCCCACGCCAGAGCTTACCCACAGTGCCAGACTCGGCCATGATGCTCCTGCTGGGGCCAGCGGTGCCTGGGTTCCCCACAGGAGCCGGGGCACCAGAGCCACGGAGGAGGGAAGCCAGGGGGTTGAAGGAGAGGCAGAGGAAGACGAAGGCGCAGAGGGCCATGCGGGAGCGGTCCAGCATGCCTTGGCTGCTGGGTGAGGGCGGTGGACGTTCCTGCTTCACCTGCGTGGGCAGAGCTGTTGTGAGCCCCGGGGTACAGGCACGGGCATGGACATGGGGTGGGGTGATGGGGCACAGGCGTGGGATATAGGGCGTGGCGATGCCATAGGGCATGGGATATAGGGTATGGTATATAGGGCATGGTGATGAGGCACAGGTATGGGATATAGGGTGTGGTGATGCCATAGGGCATGCGATATAGGGTATGGTATATAGGGCATGGTGATGAGGCACAGGTATGGGATATAGGGCATGGCGATGCCATAGGGCATGCGATATAGGGTATGGTATATAGGGCATGGTGATGAGGCACAGGCATGGGATATAGGGCACGGGCGTGGAGCACAGGGTATAGGCATGGGGCACAGAGCACATTTTGGGGTACAGAGCATGGGTGCAGCAGCCCTGTGCACTCCAGAATGCCCCCACACCCCTCCCTCCAGCCCCGAATTGGGTGAGGAGCCGCCTCAGAGAGCAAGACCAGGGCTCTGAGCTCCTTTGCCCACACCGGCATCTGGTTCACTTTGCTCTTGGCACCCCCAGCGTGATGCAGCAGATCCTCCACCCCGCTTTGGGCAAGGGGATTCCTCCCCCATAGCCCCCCCACACACACACCTTGCCATGGTCGCAGAGGGGGCTGTCGGGCTCCGAGTCGCTGCTGCTGTTGCTGCTGCCCCCGCTGAGCGAGAGCGGGCTGTGGTGGGACGGCGAGCCCATGTCCGAGGGTGGTGGCGTCAGCATCTCCATCACCTCCGGCTTCACCACCTCCATTGGGGCCTCTGCCTTGGCCCCCCTGCTGCAGGAGGCCACTAGGTCCTTCAGGGACTCTGTGGGGAGCAAAGAGGGCTGAAGGGCACTGGGAGGGGGGGTACAGCAGCCCCGGGGCTGAGCCCC